ATTTACCAGATTCAAAAGGCTAATAACCCTGTTTCTAGACTCTAAAGAGCTTCAATCTTTCCTTGAACTCCCGTCTACCAATGAAGCACTTTATTATGGACCGCCTAATATCTAGACTGAACAAGAATATAACGAGCCCGACTATTACTAATATGAATACAACTAAATTACAGGACATATGGTTTTCCGTTTCCTATTATTCAGTGTCCATTAATCAAGGTCTAATGCTCCTAACCCTCACTTTCAGTTCCCAAATCCCTCTACTGGTTAAATAAACATTTTTCTTCCTAAGTGTGATGTCTTTTTTTCTATTGCAAGTAGACAGGTAACTCACTAGTCTTATGGATACTGATCTACTATGGCTGATCATACGAAGCTAAAAATTGATGATAATAATAATAATAATATATTTCTGCATGAGCAGGTACACGCCATTTTTACAGGCATGATCTACAAATTATAACATTAGTTGGAGCATAGCATGCTTCCTAACTTATTAAGTTTATAGTTGTTATAAAGTAGTCTCGTAGAGCGCTTGTTATAAACCATGGCCTTGAGTTGACGCTTATGTCAAATTTGTTCCAGACGTTAGAAGTTTCATAGCTGTGCCCTCGGAGCAAGATTCTGAAGAAAATAAAAAAGAAAAACAGCAGAGCAACAAGGCACTTGGATATGGACTCCAAACGTTGCTTAACATTACGTAGAACAGACAAAGGTATAATAAATTAGATTAAATTCATATTATCTCTTGTTAGAGTGAAATAAAGTCAGAGGCTCCATTCAAGAGAATGTAGTAATGAAGAACAATGAATTGTGATGTTTAACAAGTTGGATTAAGCTCATATGAAGGAAGGGAAGTTAAGGTTGGTACAGAGAAAGTTGTTTATTAGAAGGGAGTGTGCATATAAAGGGTGAAGTGTTGAAAATATTAATAACTATATCTTTTGTTGTCTGATTTTTTATTTTTCTTTTTTTTTCATCCGATGCCAGCCACACAATCCATGTGTAAAAGTCCGAGTTAGCATTTTATAGGTTGTCTTAGTAGAATAGCTACTCCAGTATAAAATTGGAAACATGAGTCTGAGTGGTGAGCGTAGGAAGATAATCTATATCACAGATTGATTGACTTATGCTCAATCATAGAGAGCCTGATACATACAAAATGTTCTGCCCCACAAACACGGGTGGATTGAAGTCATCGCCCTCACCATCAATGCTTGCTGGTCAGTAACTCCACCCTCCCTCCTTTTGTGATGTTAGGCTCATTTAAGCTTATTCTTGGATATATATCATACCTCACACAATCCTCTGTTTCACAATCTGTTGGAAAACACTATTTCTATAAGTACCATTTTACAAGCTTATCAGGCAGTTACAAATTATGAACTGTGGGTAAGGCATCGATGCAGTGCTTCAATTGACTATAGTATAAAGTATAGTTTGCCTATTAAAGTATAAGCATTAAGAGGGGTGTAATGTAGGATAGTGGCGGAAAAGTATAGAAGTATATGGGTTGTAGATTAGGTAACGAGTGGAGGAATAATATTAATTGCTAGTCAACATGGTGTGCAGAAGAGTAAAAAGTCTTGTGAGTTGTTCAATGTTATATTTTTCTTACCCTAAAAATTTTACAATTTTATACTCTTTCATATCATTCGATTTGCCATTAGTCCTACTATCTTTAAACCACATATAATCTAACCTGTTATTTTTCTTTCACCATTAGTTTTCTTCATAGCAGTGTGACATACTAAATGGACTTCTAACCCATAATACAAACGCTTTAACTATCTGATTTGCTTGTAACATGGAACTAGTAGAGACAGTGTATTCTAACCACGTGCTTTAATTAAAGCAGTATGCATACTTACCACAAACGTAAGAGAGCCTAACATCACAAAGGAGGGAGGGTGGCGTTACTGAACAGCAAACATAATGGCGGGGAGATAACTTCAACCCACCCATATCTGTAGGGCAGAACATTTTGTTAAATTACGGCTCCTTATGGTCTAGTGGAATGTCACGAACTAGTGATATTGACGCTGATTCATCATGCTAAATACTTCATTAAATCGTGTTTCGAACGTTAAATTGGTTCCACTTCCTACCCAGTAATCCTATTACAAGCAAACTAGACAATTCACTAAAAAAAACGAGGCCTACTGAAGACCGTATAAAATCTAAAAAAGGCTCCAATAGCGTCGACAAAAAAGGGAGACAGCCATTTGTCAGTTGATTATCCACTCACACCTTGTTTACACTTATTTTCTTTAACTTATTAGGATGCTCCTACTTACTACATACTTTAATAAAAGAGAATTAGACTGAGTAGTCATATTTTAACTATTTCTTCATGAATATTGTCTGCTCTGCTTCTCGTCCTTTCTTGTTTTCTTTTTTGCACCATTTTTCGGCCCTCTTGAGATATAAGATTGCGATTTCTAGAAGCTTTCAACTGAACATGAATCTATTATCGACCCTCAGTTGCACGTCGCAACACAACTTTCATGAAGCGCGTCAACTGTGATACTGACTGAAACCATTCTACATTCATATCTTATAAATTATCCACCCTGCTGAGTAGTTTACTACAGTTGGAATATGTATCATTTGTAACAATTTGATCTTGCCTGTAAACTGGCATGCCTCATGTAACAAAATGTTATTTGAGAATAAATTATTATTATTATTATTATTATTATTATTATTATTACTGACAGTAGTGTGATGACCTTGTAGTTCTCATGTTTGCTCAGATCTTTCTTTGGTATCTTGATAAAGTATCCTTTTCAGCCCGTCGGCAGTTCTTCCTCTCAAATCTTCCTGAATATAACATGGGGTATGTTTGCAGTTACTTCAATATCTGACTGCAAAGCTTCAGCTGGTATATTGTCAGATCCTACTGCTTTTCTGCTCTTCATCTGTCTGATGTCCACCCTAATTTCTTCGATCGTTGGTGGAGTGACATCTATGGGAAGGTTTGTAGATGCTACTTCGATGTGCAGTGAATTCAATGGAGCAGGTCTATTCAAGAGTTTCTCGAAGTATTCTACCCATCTGTTCTTGAATCTCGGTGATTGTCTTGGCTTCTTTGTCTTTCTGGTTTGCTACGTTTCCTTGCTAGCTTCTTCATTGTGTCATATAGCTGTCTCATATTTCCTTCTCTTGAAGCTTTTTCCGCTGTTGTTGCTAGCTCTTCCACGTATTTCTGCTTGTCAACTCTAACGTTCTTCGCTCGTTTTTATACTTTTGTGTATTCGGTCGGTATATCGGCTTTCTCTGCTACTGTTGTTGTTAATTGCTGTCTTCTTGTTCTTCCTTTCTTGAATCTTGACTAGGGTTTCTATCGAGATCCATTCCTTATGATGATGCTTGTTGCGGCCCATCATCTGACACGTTGAAGTTAATGCTTCTTTAGTCCCTTTCTAATTGTTCTCCTTAGTAGTTTCTTTTTCTTTCAGTAGATCCTGTAAGGCTTGGAACCTGTTGTTCAGAGCTATCTTGAATTCATTGAGTTTGTCAGTATCTCGAAGGAAGGCTGTATTGAACCTTTGTAGTTCTGTTTGTCCAGTTGTCCAGTTCTTCTCTAGCTTCAGTTTCATCCTGGACACAACCAGGTGGTGATCTGAAGATATATCCGCTCTTCTCCTGGTTCTCACATCTTTCATTGTCCTTCGGAACTTTTTATTGATACAAATACGAACTATCTGGTTCTCTGTGGTGTGGTCCGGTGAGATCCACGTAGCTTTGTGTATACGTTTGTGTGGAAATATTGTACCGCCTATGACCAATTTGTTGAATGCACACAGATTTGCAAATCTTTCCCCGTTTTCGTTTCTCTCTCCCAGTCCATGCAGTCCCATGATGTCTTCATATCCGGTGTTGTATATTCCGACTTTGGCGTTTAGATCTCCCATCAGAATGGTGAGGTCCTTTCTTGGGCACTTCTCTATGATTGATTGCAACCTCTCATAGAATTGATCCTTAACGTCGTCGTTGCTATCATTGGTGGGTGCATAACTTTGGATAACATTCATTGTGATCCCCTCCTTCTTTGTTTTGCATGATGCTTTGATAATTCTGGATCTGTGAGATTCCCATCCTACAAGTGCATTTTGTGCTACTTTGGACAGCATTAGAGCGACTCCCTGAGTGTGTGGAGCATTTTCCTCTTCGTTACCAGAGTATAGCAGCATTTTTTTCGTATCTATCCTTTATTGTCCAGCTTTTGTCCAATGAATTTCGTGATTCTAAGCATTGCCAAGTCGTATCTCCTCATTTCCGTTTTTATTTGACTGGTCCTCACAATCTCTCACATCATCCGAACGTTCCATGTACCTATAAAATTGTTGCTGTGGTTGTTTGAAGAGACATCGACCTCTTAAATTCCGAAAAATCCCAGATTTCATCCTCTTTTAAATGAAGCTCAGTACTGAGCTATTTCTTGGCAATGTAATGGAGTTGTGCATTAAAAAATTCTCAACAGCAATTGAAATATTCCGTTTCGACCGAATTACGTTTTTTCATACGGTTGTGCTTACTCTCTATTAATCCCAAGTCATTAAAACACCAGTACCTGACGTCATCTGATTACCCTATTTTGCACAGTACTGTGAATTGAAGTGCACAGTGATGGAATACTTAAACAACAGGAAAATCCAGTACAATTACATTAAAACCTGAAGCCTATAAAAACAAGTACTGGTTTTCATTGAAAGCGTTACATATAACGCGTCACAGCATAAAACACAGGTTAGGACGAGCGAGTATTACATATTGGTTTTCTGTGTTCTAGGAAACGTTCCTTCAAATCGAGTTCTGACACTTAATACGTTTAAGCAACTTAAAATAGATTTGCAGTACATATTTGATCCCCCCAATTTTCATCTAATATTTTTCTGTTTCAAAATTAAGAAAACAAAAGCACATTGCGCATTCTTCCCATAACCTTATATTAGGAACTGCAAAAGCTCGAAGCAAATGTGTTGGTTATTGGATATTGAACAATGTATCTAAGTTACAGCTTGTCCCGCTCGTTGCGTTATACATCAGTTTGGTGAGATTAATCTGTATCGAAACTATTTGCCACGTATTTGGTCTCAAATATAGAGAAAACGTTTATCCTGACTTGACGACAGATTTATTCCTAATGTAAATTCAGTTGAGCAGGTTTCACATAACACCGATTTGCGTGTTCTTTAATTCTTCCAGTATTCATCTTTTTATCTGTTAGTCGCACTAATAGTTCGGTTGTAATATTCAGCATGCAATAGAACACAGTAATCCTCCAGACTAATAGTATTGCTTAGATTTGTTGCCATTTTTGAAGTAGTAGCGGAGAGTGACTGTACTATGAACTCCAGTAGATAGTTCGTGTTTTATGGTTTGGTATGAAAAACTAACCTTAACATATTTGTAGTGTATAGGATTTGATCTTGGTTACGGTCCTTATTAATAGAAATGATAGTCTGGTCGACTGTGACAACCTCTTGAGCTTATTTCTCACTGAAGATCCGACTTCCCCTTAAAAGCACCCACTGATAAAACTGGTACCAGTCGTTGACCACTGGATGGAAAAAACGGAATCCCAATCAAAGCTTATCTTACCTTTGTTTTTAAACCTTACTGCGGTGGCCTCCGACATGATTATTTATTCAGGGAGTAGAAGGATAAGACTCGTTTCTGCATACTGAACACTCAGGTATGTTCGAATCCGCAATGTAACATATTCTGCTTGGATGCAAAATTCATCAATATAAGGTCTCCCGTGAGTGTAGCATAATACCTGAAACATATCTTGGTCAAAACAGTTGAATGCTCAGCAAAACAACACTTACTCTCAAAAGTCTTTGAAAGCTGTCATAACTAACTATTACTCTCAGATCTTGTTTCTGCACGCATGCAAGCTGCACACGGTTGGCGCTATGCTGGTAACCATTGCCATGTCCAGTGTGGATTAGTGGACTCTTTCTATCGTTCGTCTTGAAACCTAAAATTTGGAATCATTTAACTAATCCGTCTAAATCCGTTAGGAGATTACGATTATCAGTCTCATTACGTATTGTTCTCCGAACGCTGAAACCACCTATGGATAACAATGTCGGTAGCTTGGGCAGTTTTGGTAATCCATTGACGCAGAGAAAAAATTGTGGACCTAATATGGTACTTTGGTGTACACCACTTTCAAATGGTTTCCATACATATGATGTCTTAGCAACAAGATCGGTGTGAAAAGCTGAGGTATTTTAGATTATCCTTGTATTTATTACCCTCTGAGCTCATTCCAGCACGTAAGTTTTACATTTGATACTAGAATTCCTCGCTTTACTCTCGTATTCTGAACGTGGTGAGGGACAAGATTTAAAATGTATTCTTGTCTAGGCTTCAAAATAGCCTCAAAAGGTCCCCACAAAATCTGCAAGTCTTAAGCACCTGGCGCTTTGTTATCACCCTTAAATTTGGGATCGCCGTTTACTGTGACTCGTAAATCTTTACAGTAACCAATGTCATGTAAATGGATTTGATTTCTGATGTAATTATGCAAACGATATGCATTACAGTACTTGTGCTATTACTTGCCTTCAACGATCACCAGATCGTCCACTCATGCAGATAGCTCAAATAAACTTGTAACCCTATTTTATCATTATTGCATTTTAAAATTCTCAGATGTAAGTTATTAATAGCTTGCCTTGATCTTCGAGTTTCATTTAGTACGGATTTTGGGCTGTTGTAAAGAACACCGAGAGACAAAGTTATCTTTATAATTTTGTAGGTGTTACTGATTTAGATTGCTAAATCATTATGATATTTCACTTAACGTGAGCGCATTCAATTTATTGTGCAGTAGTTTAAATTAATATCGGTTTGACTAGTGCATATTACAGAACTTTACTTCGCTTGTAATAAGATATTACTATTGTTACCGTGTCTGTTTCTCCATGCTCCAATATTCTATACAAATTCATAGAATATGGTTTCACCTCTCCATTTAAATTTTTCTGATAAGTTTAGACTAAGCTAGTACTGCATATCATCTATTTTATTTATAGCATTGACATAATCAACAGTATCATTTTGTGATGAAATTACTTCTTTTAATATACAATTTGTGTTCGTCTAATGTGTTCTGTAAATAAATTATTTTTACTATTGAAAGCATTCTTGCCGTTTTAAATTATTTATTAACACTTGATTTGAATTTTTAATCTATGTCCAGTCACATTGTTGATGTATTGTGCTTACTTACTTACTTACGCCTGTTACTCCTCGTGAAGGAGCATAGGCCGCTCAGCAGCATTCTCCATCCAACCCTGTCCTGGGCAATCCTTTCCAGCTCTTTCCAGTTCTTATTCATCCTTTTCATATCTGCTTCTATTTCCCGACGTAATGTGTTCTTTGGCCTTCCTCTTTTCCGCTTCCCTTCAGGATTCCAAGTTAGCGCTTGTCTCGTAATGCAGTTTGATGATTTCCTCAATGTATGTCCTATTCATTTCCATCGTCTTTTCCTAATTTCCTCTTCAGCTGGAAGCTGGTTGATTCTCTCCCACAAAAGGCTATTGCTGATGGTATCCGGCCAATGGATGTTGAGTATCATGCGTAGGCAGCTATTGATAAATACCTGTACCTTCTTGATGGTGGTTGTTGTAGTTCTCCAAGTTTCAGCTCCGTACAGTAGAACTGCCTTGACGTTGGTACTGAAGATTCTGACTTTGATATTGGTTGAAAGTTGTTTTGAGTTCCTTATGTTCTTCAGTTGAAGGAATGATGTCCTTGCTTTGCCAATCCTCACCTTTACGTCTGCATCTGAGCCTCCTTGTTTATCGACGATGCTTCCCAGGTATGTGAAGGATTCTACATCTTCCAGAGTTTCGCCATCAAGAGTGATTGGATTGCTGTTCTCCGTGTTGTGTTTGAGGACCTTGGTTTTCCCTTTGTGTATGTTGAGGCCTACTGATGCAGAGACTGCTGCTACTCTGGCTGTCTTTGTGTGCATTTGTTCGTGTGTATGTGATAGGAGGGCTAGATCATCTGCGAAGTCCAAGTCGTCTAATTGGTTCTGAGCTGTCCATCGTATGCCGTGGTTTCCCTCAGATGTCGAGGTCTTCATAATCCAGTCGACCACCAGGAGAAACAAGAAGGGAGAGAGTAGACAGCCTTGTCTTATTCCGGTCCTTCCTTGGAATGCCTCAGTCAGCTGTCCTCCATGCACTACTTTGCACTGTAGTCCATCGTATGAGTTCCGGATAATGTTGACAATCTTCTCAGGAACTCCGTAGTGTCGAAGAAGTTTCCATAACATCCTCCTATCTACGCTGTCAAATGCCTTCTCATAATCAATGAAGCTGATGTACAGTGACGAGTTCCACTCAATTGATTGTTCGACGATGATCCGTAGTGTCGCAATCTGGTCTGTGCACGACCGGTCCTTACGGAATCCAGCTTGTTGATCTCGAAGTTGAGCGTCTACTGCGTCTTTCATCCTGTTCAGTAACACTCTGTTGAAGACTTTACCTGGTATTGACAGTAGTGTAATGCCTCTGTAGTTTTCACACTTGCTCAGATCTCCTTTCTTTGGAAACTTGATGAGGTGTCCTTCTTTCCAATCCATCGGCACTTGTTCCTCCTCCCAAATCTTCTTGAATAGAAGATGAAGCATGCTTGTAGTTACTTCGATGTCTGACTTCAACTCTTCAGCTGGTATCTTTTCAGGTCTTGCTGCTTTCCCGCTCTTGATTTGTCTGATGGCCATTCTGATTTCTTCGGTCGTTGGATGTATTGTGCTACGGTGAAGAAATTTAAGATTCTAACAATGTATCAATGAATAGTTTTCTGACTGCTGTGTATAAAATGTTTACTGTTTATCATATAATAGAGTGGTTACATGCATGTAAAATGTAGTTGTTTGGCTGAAATTCTGTTTTGTCGGAATACATATACAAATCCCATCAATCAGTCAGCCACATCGTAGAACAAGGCACATATATGCATCGGTCCAAATTGTCACACCTCATTAGCACAAGATGAACACAAAATTCATAGAAGTAGTCACTTCAATTGTAGCTATGTATAGAAGAAAGATTGTGTACAAGGATATAGTACAGAAAGAATGAATAAAGTTGTAGGAATAAATGTATAAAGCAATTTTAATTTCACAATTTAAGTAGAGACAAAGGTTGTATATACAAATCCCGACCAAAGTACGGTTAGTTAAAATATATCGAATGGCTTTAGGTACACTGACTACAGCCATAGCTAAATGTACACTTAACGCAAAGAATTTAATGACCGTCAGTATTATCTGTCGCAAGGTTCCAATATTTCCTTTGGGACATACCAAAAAGCTCTACAATCTTACAGGAACAGTCATATGAGGATTCCATGTTAAGGTTGAATTTATGTTCCTATATATTGCCATTTTTTTAATTGACATTTGATTCATTACCATCCCTTCTTTTTATTCTGTTCTCATTTGTCACTGATAAATTCAATTTAATCGCCTTTACAATTTTGTCTCCGGACAAAGAGAAATCTTTCATTGAAATTTCTGTATTCCCAACTGTCTATGGGGATATATTAGCCCATGTTGATGAAATAAACTTTAAAATTATGAAACTGAAGGCAGCATGTGGGGTTACGAGTTACTTATCATCAGTTTTTGATCGCTTTAAAATAACAAAGCATAGGAGCTATTCGTAGGTATCATTACCAAGGTTTGATTTGATAATTTCGAATAAATTGAGCATTGGGTTGATTGTTATAAATAAATAATATATTTGTAATATCCCAATGAGTAGAAAATTAGATTTTCTGACGTTTCGTGGCTTAGTGTAAGTCACTTCTTCAGAGAATTTTTTTATTCTCTGAAGAAGATTTATGTATACAATTTCGTTTTACTTTGCCACCAAACGTTTTAAGTGAATAATGTGCTAAAATACGTTTCGCAAGGAACAGCGAGTGGATTTGCGCTTTTAAGCAGTAGATTGTTGTGTATGTACGTGCGTAATGTCATATTTTAAACTCCTGTTAAAGCGAATTTGAAGAAAACTACGACATATTTTATCTAAGACTGTAGAGACTAAATTATTGAAACACCTGAGTAATTTTCTTAGACTGCATAATCACATTGTTAGGTAAATTGTTTGACTAGAAAAACGGTTGTGCATGCCAACGAAATAATATCAACGAGAAGTATTTTTTGTTGAAATGTCTTTGTTGTTTTAATCATGTTTGAATAATGATTCGCTGTCTCTCTACTTTGCAGAAATTTCCAAGCATCTATCCAGTCACACAATGGTGTTCAGTAAGTAGACCATTTCGACAGTTTTGACGTTCGGTCTTAGTTACCGAAGATCTCATTCGAAAACGTGCAGAACACAATGATGGGGAGATATACTCCCTTGAAGAAGTGGCTCTACATCAACAAAATCTTGAGAGGTAAAACGTTTGTTACATAATTTTAAAAAACAAGGATTGAACTTATTGAAAACTGGTGTAAAAGCCTTAGAATATTATATCTACAAAATAATCTCATTCCAAAAATCGGTATTGCTAATTACTTAATGATTTTTGTTTCAGAAAATCTATCAAAGCTGAAAAAACTAGAATATTTGAATTTAGCTCTAAATAATATTGAAAAAGTGGAGAACTTAGAAGGTTGCGAATCCTTGAAAAAGCTAGATTTGACAATAAATTTTATTGGGGACTTGTTTAGTATTGAATCTTTAGGTAATGTGCATTTTCTTGAAGAACTGTAAGTTAGCTGTAAAAGTTTTGCTTAATTTTCTTCTTATATGTGTTGTAGTTATTTAACTGGAAATCCGTGCACAGAATATCCAGGGTATAGAGAATTTGTGATTGCTACGTTACCGCAATTAAAAGTAAAGATAAATTTTCTTTTTTAAATGTAAAGTTACTAGATGGAGTGGAAATAACTAAATCAGAACGCATTATCGCATTGCAAAACTTGGAACGTATTCGTCCAATCATAGAAGAAAAACAAAGAGAGCACGGATTGAAAAGAGTAAGTGGGTGGTGAATTTTTATGATTAACTGATTATGAATTTCCGTATCACTTATTTAATACGAAGTTATTTCACAGAATTCTGAAAAGTTCGAAGCAGTTCGAAGAAAAGAAAGATTCGCCAAGATAAATACAGATTCCAGTTGGTAAGTAAGTAACATTTTATTCTAATGGTTTTTACCTAGTTTACGATATACGGCATTTAATAGTTAGTTTAGGCATAAGTTTGGGATTTTTTTCTCAGTCCCAATAACACTACAGTATAGCTAGATTTTGCAGGTCGGGATCTAGTAGGATTTTAGATTTCCACAGCTGTTATTCACACAGAACGTGTGACTCACAAATTAGTGTAGTAATAATATTAAGAAAAGGTTTTATCTTACCTGTTCCATCAGATAACTGTGGTAGACTGATAAGTATGGTTGATTTGACGGTAGAAACGAATATTAAAAAGTAAACTTGCCGGATGGCGAAATTCACCTAACCGACCTGGTTGAATATAATATTTTACTTATGTTTATATGCTGTAAAACGATCTTACAATTTCAGGTGTGGATCTTGATTTCATAATACCAAAGATGCGGAGGTTGACAGTTTTCTAATAAATGTCCATAACTGTTTCGGGCAATGGAGTAAGCCTGAACATATCGGAATGGAAGCAAATGGTCTGCATCTTTGTAGTCCGTTGTACTGTTTTTGTAACTTACTATCGTTAGCAAATGACACCTTGTTTACAATACATGGAGGATTTGTATAAAATAGGTGACATTATTTTTAGTAGCGTATGGTAGAAACCATCTACATCACCTTGTTTTAGACGAATTCAAAGCAATATGTTTTTCGCTTCAAATAATTATGGAAAACTGCATTCCTCATAAATGCCATTACGCTATTTGAAGATAAATTTTGAATAACTCTTATTTACCATTAAAATGTTTGAAGTGTATGATTTCTGTGTACTGTGTTTTCAAAAACAAAATTTCATGGTGCTAAAATTTCCTTACTCGCCTTCCGCAGTGTTTCGAAATATTATTACGATCGCAATGTTCTTGTTTGTTGGACTCTACTTATCATATTCAGGTTTTCTATCGAAAAAAGCAACATTCTTTTGCAGTAACTGTTTACGTTTTACGATAGTCATGAGCCTTATTGGTTCGACTGTTTTGTCAGGAGCTAAAAGTAGTTAAATCCCTCGGACCAGTGTTATCTGCAGGGTTCTCCTTGAACAAATATGATTGTATTCTTCATTGATCATTGGTCCAAAAGTTCTCCATCTAATATTACCCTAATAAATGCAAATATTTCAAGTAATACAATTGGAACTGGTAATGGCAGCGATTTTGAACCAATCTACCGGAAATGCAATGACTTGTACTGACAATATCTTCGTCCGTTTTGGTTCAACACAATACATTCGACTATAAACAAAATCAGTCTGTTTTTTTCAATAAATGAAGACTTCTTGTGTATTATGTATTGAGCGGACAATTGTTTTCAATAACTTCATCATCAGGCTCTACAGTTATAAGTCCATAATTATGATATTTTACAAAGGCCAAAATAAGACATGTATGAATGAATTTCACAATTTCATGTGTTAAAAATGGTGATCGTTTGCATCTGTTACGACATATATACTTCAAAAATTGTGTTATTTGCAAATTAGAAAGGTCGTTTAAAAAGTTCAGAATGATTTTGAGTAAAGTGACCAGTCACAATCAGTAAAGTGGTATTATAGCAAAAATGAAAATGCAAAAAAATTGTGTGAATAAAATGCATAGTAGAATTTCGTCTTGTCAATTGAGATAATAATCATAATAGTAATGATAATAATATTGTTGTGTGGATATAATATGCAATAAAGGGAGTCTTATCAAGGTAATTACGATAAACGAATTGGGAATGATGGATGTGAAGATTAAGATAGAGGTAATCAAGAAATAATAATAAGGAGAAAAAGGAAGGGTCCAAGGTAAACCTAGAGGCTGGATACATAAGTTTGGTTTTCTGGAGTTGATCCAGATGGCTTCGGTTATGTAGAGTAACCGTAATATAGCTCATTGAGGTAGATATTTTGTGACTTGATATGAAACAGAGAAAGCTTCCTCTATTTTGATTTGATGTTCACTATCTGCCAAGTGAGAAAAGATAGTGCTGTTGATCGATTTGGTGACTACTTCTCCAAACCATGCTGGTACATGTTCACGAACACTCAAGGATAAACCCTCTGAGTACGACCTATGTAACTAGCTCCACAGGAGCAGTTGGATTGGTATACTGTTGGGGACGATAAATTCCCCAAAACTCACATTTGTAATTTCATCGATTAACTTATCGATTTAATGTTTAAATATTTGAATAGCAATCAATTGACGAACTTATTGACGAATGTTTAAAAATTTAAATGACAATATCGATTATATATATTTGTATATATATATATATATATATATATATATATATATATATATATATATATATATATATATATATATATTTTAAATTGTTTTGGTTGAATCGCTCGTTCCTGGTTGTTGCAGAATATATTTCTCATTTAAAGCCTGGACTTCTTCCTCTAGATAGCTGCGGCTGGGACGCGTCAATAGTTAGCTCACTGGTCGTTGGTCACGGAATACCGTTCTCGTTCGCAAATTTAAGTGAACTCGTTAAGCTTTTCTTTTTTTCAATCCTAACAATTGGCGACGGTGGTTTTTCAATTATGGACCCTTCCAAACTTGAACTGTTACTTGAGCAGCAGCTGAAGTTGATGCAAATGTTGACGGAGACCAGGGTTACGTCTCCCTTACAGTCAAGCACGTCTAGTTCAACCACGGCACCATCGGTAGATGGCATCGCAAATAGTATAGCTGAGTTCCATTACGATCCTGATGCTAATGTTACTTTTGAGATGTGGTTCAGGCGTTACGAAGATTTATTTAAATTTGATTTCGCCAATCAAGATGATGTTTGGAGAGTGCGGCTGCTACTTCGTAAATCGGGTGCAACTGAGCTGGATAAGTATTGCAATCTGATCCTGCCTTTGAACCCACGTGACCGATCATCTGCAGAAACAGTTCAAACACTAAGCCAACATTTTGGCGATAACTCGTCACTGTTTAATACTCGTTATCGATGCCCGAAGCTAACTATGAACGAAGATGATGATTTCCTTACGCATGTGGGCGTCGTCAACCGTGAATGCGAACGCTTCCGGTTAAAGTCTTTGACTGAAGATCAGTTTAAAGCCCTGATCCTCATTTGCAGCCTACAGCATCAAAAGTTCAGTGACTTAGGAACAAGGCTACTAAGTCGGTTGGATCAAGAGCCGAAACTCACCCTGAGTGATATAGCAAATGAATTTCAACGTCTTATTAATCTGCAACGAGACACTTCTATTGTCCAGAGTGGTGGGTCTGGCCGATTCGAAGTACGAGTGGTGCAACACACACCTTACAAAAACAAATACGTCCCTGCTCCATCCGGTCCATCCCACTCCAACTCGGGACGACAGACTAAAGCAAAACCCCCTGCTCCTTGCTGGCAATGTGGTGCATGGCACTACGTTCGAAACTGTTCATTTAAGCAACACCGATGCAAGAAAAGTAAGGTTATCGGTCATAAGGATGGGTTTTGTCTGAGGAAGAAGAATCCAAGTCAATCCAGAAATAACAAAAAGACCCATCCTCGATCCCGCACTAATTCTTTGAGCTTAGTATCTTCATGTCAAAGCTAATCACCAGGTGAGAGAAAATTTATTACTGTCAATATTAATGGGCACTCATCTACATTACAGATAGATACTGCATCAGATGTCACTATCCTCTCACGTAAGATTTGGACCAAAATGGGCAGCCCAAACTTGCAGCGTACAATCCAAAAGCCTCGTACTGCGTGTGGTAATTACCTTCATCTGTTTGGACAAATGGAATGTACAGTTACTTTCCGTGATTCGGCGTTCGTTGGGGTATGTTACATAACACCAGCTGATCTAAATTTACTCGGGTTAGATTGGTTCGATCAGTTAAATTTAGCTGATGTCCCATTGAATACCATATGCAACTTGGTATCACAACCCCAACTACGACAACAACCACATGATTTGGAAGACCACGCCGAATGTTATCTGACGACCACAATACGAGCTTTGCCGATATCTGCAACCGACATACAAAATGCTTCCAAGAGCGACCCCATCATCAAGATGACTATGAACTATGTCACCAACGGTTGGCCGTCTAAGAAGTTTGATGTGACATGAAACAGCTGTATCAGCGGCGGGATTCGTTAAGCATTGTAAACGATTGCTTGATGTTCAGAGAAAGAGTGGTTGTGCCAGAATCCCTTCGTGCAAAAGTGCTGAAACAGTTCCACCTTGGTCATCCGGGGATTAGACGAATGAAATCCATAGCCAGGAGTCATGCATATTGGCCGCTAATGGATCAACATATAACAGAATTGGTTGGAAAATGTATGCGATGTCAGCAAGCGGCAAAAGTGAGCGCCAAAGCTGATGATCCTTGGTCCAGGATACACGTCGACTTTGCAGGCCCGATTAACGGAACCATATATCTAGTTGTAGTTGACGCCCTTTCGAAATGGCCAGAAATCAACCCTATAATACCGCCAACGACGACTAAAACAATACAAATTCTTACAGAACTTTTCTCCCGAAATGGTATACCGGATGTCATTGTATCTGACAACGATTCACAGTTCACCTCTAGCCAGTTCCAGTCATTTTGTCAACGGCTAGCCACCATATCACCCGCAGTCGAATGGGCAAGCAGAAAAATTTGTGGATACGTTTAAAAGGGCTTTGGTTAAGACAAAAGGGGAGGGGACACCAGCGGACGCGTTGCAAAATGAGACGTTGCCGGAGCGAAAGTCCCCAGCAGAGATCCTAATGGGAAGGTAATTGAGGACGATCCACAGTCTTATGTGCCCAAGAACCACACCACCACCACCTCAGACCAGATCACAGAAGCTGCCAGCATACGAGGTTGGATGCCCAGTGTTCGCTCGAGACTACAGAGCAAACCACGGTCCTTGGATCGAAGCATATGTGGTTGGAAGATCAGGCCAAGTGGGTGGGAAGAGACATATGGACTAGACACAGAAACCAACTGCGTAAGCGGATAGCCCCAGA